TAAATAGCCCGCCTGATGTGATGTGGGCGCTTACTGTGCATGCACGAGCTTTCCGCGCTGTCGCGCAATGCGCGGCCGCACGCTCCTGCGCCTGCGCACTCGCAACGCCGCGACTCGAGGGGACCCGACGCACCGCTGCACGGTGACAGGATCCCTGACACCTACACTCTATAACTCAAATCTTCAATCTCTCCCTTTCTACTGGCATCTTCCCAAACCCTTTAAAACATGCACCAGTAACCCCCATACTTAAAAAGACCTCACTGCACCCCACCAATCTTAACAACTTAAGACCCATCTCCTTATTCTCTTTTGCCTGCAAAGTCCTTGAACATCTAGTCTACAACCAGCTGCCACCTTATTGAGAATAATCTTCTTGATCCCATTCAGTCTGGATTTTGCCTGCAAAACTCCACAGAAACTGCTCTCCTAAAACTCTAACTCACCTAAAATGACTCACTAACAGCTAAAACCAACAGTCACTATTTCGTATTTTACTCTTGGACCTCTCCACTGCCTTTTACAGTCAACCACCCCTCCTCCTCACCTCTCCTTTGTGACTGCCTGTTTGTTCGAATCTTACCTATCTCAATGCAACCTTCAGTGTCACTTACAACTCTAGTTCCTCCTCTCCTTTTCCTCTTACCATCGGGGTCCCTCAAGGTTTTGTCCTTCTCTCCTATTCTTGATCTACACCTCTTCCCTGGGTCAGCTGATAGCTTCCCATGGTTTCCAATACAATTTCTATGCAAATGATACACAAATCTGTCTCTCTACCTCTCAGCTCACCCCATCAGTTTCCTCATGTATTACTGATTTACTAACAGCATTACACATCACTTGACCCTCCCTCTTAGATTGTAAGCCTAACTAGCAGGGCCCTCTGATTCCTCTTGTACCAAATTGTATTGTAACTGTAATGTCTGCCTTCATTTTGTAAAGTTCTGCGCAAACTGTTGGCGCTATATAAAGCCTGTTTTATAATAACCACTTGCCCTTTTTGGAAAGGAATTTGATAAGAGGCATGGCAAATATTTAGCAGATATTTCTGGCACAGGGTTTAAAAAAAAAAAAGAATAAAAAAATACATTTTTGTTTTCTTTCTTTGTTTTCCAAAAACTTGTGGCAACAAATGAGATCTGCAAAATACTCACCATGCCCCTTAGAAAATATTTTTTCAAACACAAATTTAAAAAAAAAAAATACACTTTTTGGGATTTTAGTGCACAAAAACACAATATATTTCCACATTGTTTGATAAAGTATAAAAGATGATGTTATGCAGAGAAATAAATACCAAACATGACATGCTTTAAAATTGTGCACGCCCGTGCAACGCCGACGACAAACTACATAAATTTTTAATATCGATAGGCAAAAGCTTTTACAGGTCACCACTTTATATTTACACAGGAGGTCTAGTGCTAGAATTACTGCCCTGAATCTGACATTCGCAGTGATAACTCACACGCATGGTGCAATCTCTGTTTACACACTGACATGTGACCGAAGCTTGCTTTCGCCTTTGCGCGCGAGCACGTGAAGAAGGGGGCGTGGGTAATTTTTTTATTTTTTTTTTATATTTTTTTACACAGTCCCTTTCTTTTTTTTGGATCACTTTTATTGTTATCACAGGGGATGTAAATATCCCCTGTGATAGCAATAGGTACTCTTTTCTAAGAAATCTGGGGTCTGTTAGACTCTAGATCTCTTCTTTGCCCTTAAAGCATCTGATTCTACCAAGATCGGTGTGATCAGATGCTTTCCCAATTTAAAAATGACGTTGTTTGTATCCGGCAAAACGGCAATGATACAATGTTCGTAGTTTCTGGTTTCTTAGCCCATAGAGATGATTGGAGCCATTCTGGTCTCTGATCAGCTCTATTGTAAGCTGATGGAACTGCCGGCTGCATTCTCCCATTCCCCTGTGGGACAGGAGAGCGCGAGAAAGCCGTGGAAGGGGAGGGCTGTCCCTTCCTGCTGCTTATAAAAATTATTCAGCAGGTAATTAGCCACTAGGATTGCTTTTACATGAAAGCTGACCACCAGCTGAAAACAATGATACCAGGATGATGCTTGTAGTTGCAGGCATCATCCCGGTATAACCACTCAAAGTCCAGTGATGTATCAGTACATTGGTGGTCCTTGTTGGGCATATACACTCACCAACCACTTTATTAGGTACACCTTGCTAGCGCCAAGAGCCATACCATTACACCACCACCACCAGCCTGAACCATTGATACAAGGCAGGATGGATTCATGCTTTCATGTTGTTTACACCAAATTCTACCATCTGAATGTTGCTGCTGAACCAGTCTGCCCATTCTCCTCTCACCTTTGACGTTAGCAAAGCATTTTCATCCACACAGCTGTCGATCTCTGGATATTTTTCTCTTTTCAGGCCATATTCTGTAAACCCTAGAGATGGTTATGCGTGAAAATCCCAGTAGATCAGCAGTTGTTGAAATACTCAGACCAGCCTGTCTGGCACCAACAGCCATGCCGCCTTCAAAGTCACTTAAATCCCCTTTCTTCCCCATTCTGATGCTTGGTTTGAACTTCAACAAATCGTTTTCACCATGTCTAGATGCCTAAATGCATTGAGTTGCTGTCATGTGATTTGCTGATTAGAAATTTGTGTTACCAAGCAATTGAACAGGTCTACCTAATAAAGTGGCCGATGAGTGTATGTAACAGCTTAGAACATAGGCCTATGATGAAACGGGTCTGCGGACCAATATGACCGCAATTCATTCTTTTTTGCAATGCCCATGTTGAGAGTTTATGCCCAAAAAAAGTTTTACATTCAGAAACTGTGATAGGTTTCCATGCGAATTGTCTGGATTTGGATGGTTGGTGAGGTATTGTTGTGCGTATTAATTGCTTTAGCACACAATCAATTGATACAAATTTTCTGTGAAAAACAGTGGAGAGGCTAAACACTAGTGTTGGCAGTGAGTGGGCCTGATCCAGCTAACACTGCATTTTTGGTGACACTGTACTAAGGAAGCACTAGTATAGTTCTGTTTGTGATTAATATATTGATCCATACAAACACTATACTAGTAATGGCGGTGATCAGCAGCGTATGGCTGACCCTGGCTGGGAGGGGCGCTAACATACTCTGACACTACCTGATGTCGCTTGTGGCAGTAATACAGTAATCAGTGAAACATTCTATATACTGACACTTTACTAATGTCACTGGCTGGGTGATGATGGGACGATCAAAAAGTGCTAATCCAATGTGTGTGTAAAATGTACTTCTTTTACTCAGTGTGGTATTCTCTCTTCTCTCCCTGGACTGACGGGGGGGGGGGGGGGGGGGGGGGGGGGGGCAGCAAAACCAATTTCCAAAGGCAATGTCCATATAATTGTCAAAAATAGTCAAATGAAAAAGTCCATATATGAACTTTTTCAAACGTGCATAATTCACTATAAAGTCTAATATCCCGTGCTTCTTAATGAGATTTTTTCATGTGAAAAAACTTGCATGAACGTGCTCCCCCACCGGTTGTGCTCTCATCTCCAATATTTGACCAAGTCGTTAAGTAAGGTCACATAACGCTTGTGTCCCTTTAAATGGGCCAAAGTATGGATGGGATGGTATCTTACTGTTTGGGGTCCTCCTCCACTCAAACAATAGGCTCTCCCCTTCCATGGTGGTTAATATAGAGGAATGAATAAAATCATAGTGTATTATCCTTTAAAACCATTTTTTAATAAAAGTAATGCACTCACATATACTGTGTATATAAACTGCTTTGTGCACAAAATATGTCCTCCATATTTTTTTCTGTAGTGAAAATCCTAAAATTGCCAGCTGGTGTCAGTATGGACCCATCAAGCGTTGTGACGTCAAAGCCCCTCCCTTACACGTTACGCCACCAGTCATGTGGCTTCATCAGGGAGAATGATTGGACGACACGCCGCTCTCATGCTTTATATAGGGACGCTTCCGCACCATTTTGTTTGAAGCCAGACACGGAGATCACATTGAGGTGATGCTCCATGCCTGTGCATTGTGCCGCTAGCTGCCACTCTTCAATAATAAATGATAGCCTAATAATACTTAATCCAAATTATCTCCATTCGGCATATGGGAGTATTTTGGCCCTGCTAAAAAAACATAATAGACCTACTAAATCCGCCATCCGCCATTTTTTTGAAGTTTGCAGTACACAGAATAAAATTACAATAACATACAATAAAATAGCATAGTTGTACATTAACAATAATATACATAAAAATCAAAAAACGTAGCTTCATATATCAGACACCCCATTAATATATCAACATCGAGTTCACTGTTTGATATTATAATCATCCTGTCATTTGCCATTGGTTTATAAAGTGGCTTAGAGGAGCCATATTATTGAAGGCCCCCATGTGGTATATACAGTACAGTTACTTTATAACGATATATATTACTCTCAAAACAGTTTATAAACCATCAAATAACCATCCAATACTGCACTATTTATTATGTATCACTAAGATGAGAAGTTAATTAAATATATAAAATATAAAAGTGTGTAATGTGCTTATGCAAATTAAAACTATATTTTATTAAAATATTATTAAAATATTAATTATTACCAAAAAAAGAGAGAATATTATATATTTATTTGATTAAAATGTGATTAATGATTATGCATAAGATAAATTATCTATTGTTTCAAAATTCCTGTTAGTCTATGAAATGCAGACTCAATATTAATGAAAAAATATATTAATTAATATCCAGCAATATGTTGGGACCAGATATAAAACCAACTGTTCTGCATGTGGATATTATACATGAAGACATTATTTAACCATTTGCCTACAGGGCACTTATACCCCCTTCCTGCCCAGGCCAATGTTCAGCTTTCAGCGCTGTCACACTTTGAATGACAATTGCGCGGTCATGCAACATTGTACTCATATGAAATTTTTATAATTTTTTTTAGACACATAGAGCTTTATTTTTATGGTATTTAATCACCTCTGGGTTTTTATTTTTTGCTAAACAAACCAAAAACAACTGAAAATTATGAAAAAAAAAATGTTTTTTTTTTAGTATTTGTTATACAATTTTGTAAATAAGTGATTTTTCTCCTTCACTGATGTGCGTTAATGAGGCTGCAGTGATGGGCACTGATAGGTGGCACTGATGGGCACTGATGAGGAGGCACTGATAGGTGGCACAGATGGGCATTGACAGGCATCATTGATGGCACTGAAAGGCAGCACTCATATATGGCACTGATAGGCAGCACTGACTGGCACTGATAGACGGCACTGACTGGCACTGATAGTTAGCCCTGATGCGAACTGATAGGCGGCACTGACTGGCACTGATAGGCGGTACTGATTTGCAGCACTGATATGTGGCACTGACTGGCATTGATAGGTGGCACTGATTGGCACTGATAGGTGGTACTTGAAGGTAGAGCTCAGATGGGCACTGATATGTGACATTGATGTGCACTGGTAGGCACTGATATTTGGCATTGATGAGGCACTAATGGGCACTGGCAGGTGGCATTCATGAGCACTGGCAGCTGGCATTGATGTGCACTGAGAGGTGGCACTGCTGGGGCTACACTGATCATCAGTGCCCTAATGATCAGTGTAGATGTCCCCTCTGAGGAATGCCGATTACTGTCTCTTCCTCTCCTCACGAGCTGTCAGCGTGGTTAAATAGTATAAGATGTGACCATAGGGACTCCATGAAAATATTGCCCATATTGCTATATATTACTAATAAAGCATGTTAAATCAAATTCCTTATTGAGACCCATCGAGGCCAGGGAATTAATTTCATATATTTATTTATGTTACTTATATAGCGCTGTCAATTTACACAGCGCTTTACATATATATTGTACATTCACATCAGTCCCTAACCCTCAAAGGGTGTACAATCTAAGGTCCCTAACTCACATTCATACATACACATACTAGGGCCAATTTAGACAGGATCCAATTAACCTACCAGCATATCTTTGGAGGGTGGGAGGAAACCCACACAGGCACAGGGAGAGCATGCAAACACCAGGCAGGTGGTGCCCTGGCTGGGTTTCGAACCAATGACTCTAGTACTCCCAGGTGGAAGTGCTAACCATGTGCAGCCATATATCCATTTTGATTGCTTTTTCTAAGTTCCCTTACTTTGTTATCTCCTCTCCAGTGACTAGTGTGTTTCTCTATACCGCAGAATTCCAACAGACTAGCATCTTTGTTTTGTATGGTCCAGAAGTGTAATGATAGATGGTGATGTTTATACCCCCTATTGATATTATAAACTTATTCTTTTATTCTTTCTTTCATAGCTTTTTTTTTCTACCAGTATATAGGAGGTTGCAGGGGCATTTCAGGACATATACCACTCCTTTGGTCTCACAGGATATAAATTGTTTTATACTGTATTCTTTTCCTGTCCTAGGGTTTTGAAAAGATGATCTCTTTTTGGAATTATTTTTAACTTGACTGCAACTGTAGCATCTCCCACATGCAAATAATCCAGTTCCCTGGCATGCGCTCACACACCCAGAAATAGGAAGCTACGTAAGGGTACCTCACTTTTCCCAGAGCTGCCGCTTGCCCGCACATTGTGGGCAGGCAGCAAGTAGAAAAAAAAAAGAGCCTCACACTTTTTAATTCCCGATGCAATATTTTATTATATTTTTATAAACATTTGTTTAAATTTTTAAAAAAATACTTTCATCAGAGTAGTGCAATGTTACCAGAGTAACATTGTACTACTCTGGGGGGGGGGGGGGGGTGGTGATCAGGGATTTGTTTTTTTTTTTTTTTTACACTTGGCATTGCAGGAGCAAAAAAGATGATTGTTCCTGCAATGCAGTGCTTGCTTTGAACTGTCATGAATGGGTTAAGTTCACGATTGTTCAAAATACAGTCATCTGTGATTGGTTTCAGCTGGTTACTTGGTACAGGGTGTTGTGATTGGCCCCATGTACTATGTGAGAGCTGTGGGTCAATCACAGCTCAACAGGAAGATAAGCAGAGCAGATTGATTCATGACAGCTTTGCTAACATTGTGATCATGTGACCTCCGGGTCCTGTTCACCGGGATCTGCATTCTTCTGCCACGCAGCGCCCTCCTGTGTTGATACAGCCAGAGCTTCGTACGGGAATGCCGCTTTGCCGGAAGCTGATAATAATAAAGTTTACTGTATAAAACAAAATATACAGCCAAATGGATACTCACAAATATGAATGTACACAGGCATTGTATGACACCAAATCTCAATCCTGATGTATTTTGGAGGACACACCCCCTTCTATAGGGAGCTCTTTAGAAGGAGGTGCGTCCCCCGAAACGCGTCACCATGACACTACAGTGTCACTATGTATTTGGCAATGCTATTCCCACACTGAATTGAGATTTTATGTCATACCTGTCATGCCTATATACATTTATTATTGTGAGTATCCATTTGGCTGTATGTTTGTTTAATACAATAAACCTTTGGTAATGAACTAGGTGTGTGCACCCTAAGAGATCATTGGTATCATGCAGCTAATTCTGCCAAGTGGGACTATGCAAGCACCATTAGTAACTTTTGGAAGAACCTTATGATTCCACAGAACCCTGATTGGGGAATGACCAGGTTAAAATCTTTCATATTTTCTTTCCCTGTTGGGTAGGTTTTCCTTTACTGGTGGTGGGAGTTAGGCAGAACAAGGAAGTGTAATGGAATCTCATCAAATGGAGACAATTGTATCGTACTTAATTTCTTTAGTCTGCTTTTACCTGCACAGATTGTTGGGCAAAAGTCAAATGAAATAGAACCCCATGACACGTGCATGTTTTATTAATACTTTCCATATGTATAAATGCCTTACATTGTATAACAAATCTGTGACTAAAGAAACATTCTCCAGTTGATAAGTAGATGCTTCTATTGGTGAAATGAGTAGGAAAGAGAACAGTTCTTTTGGCATGGGGCCTTAGTAGGACATAAAGAAGCTGTGTGAACGGAACCTTAATATTGTTTGTTGGTCTATGTTGACAGATATTTGTAAGCAGGCATTGCCTTGGGATTACTATCAGTTGGGTTTGTTCATGCCAGACATCCCAAACATAAACAGTGTTGGCCGAGAAGACCTGAGGCCTACAGCCTACATCACAAAATAGATATTTGGAAGTCTAGAGATAAAGGAAAATTAGGGGCAGGCAGCCACTATGTTTCTTGATAAACATTTTATATGTTATGGTGAGCAGTTCATGGCTTTAATTTGCCCTTGCTTCTACTTGAAGCCACAACGCCACAACAAATTAAGGGTCATTTGCTGCGTATGTCATCGCAGCTACTTGCTATTTGAAGAACGAATGACAAAAAAGAGCAATTTAACATGGCCTAATAATGTTTACTGGAGGGGCAAAGTTTTATTTGAAATGTAAAGTGGAGTGTTGATGGTTGCTCATTCCTTGTCTATGGTCACATAGCTGACATGGTGCTTCGAGCTGTGTTGTGTTTACACCTGTCTGGTCAACTTGTTTGATGTAGAGGGCTCCCATGGTGAAAGAATAGGACATTTTGTCTTTCTTAGTTGTCTGTTTGTTTATATATCTTTTTAAATAGCCCCCACAATACCCCTCCTTGCCTGCTAGCACTAGGAACCTCTGTTCTCCCTATCTCACCCATGTAAATGGCCTATATGTCTATAGCCTACAGTTATAGCTGCCACTGCCTGACAAGCCAGAATAAAAAGAGATAAGCTAAGAAGTACACATTAACACTGAGACAGTATAGATCATACATTAATTAGCACAAGACGAAAAAATGCTTTATATACTCTGTCATTGTAATTTTCTAGGCCTGCGTTAACTAGCTCTCTTATGGTCAAAAAAACATGCTGAGAAGGTAAACCATACAAAATGTAGTGTATAAAAACTAAAGAAAGAACATATATTTTAAAACTGTGATTAGGAAAAAATGGGACCTTGGGATAGTGAAACAATTACACCTGGACCTTTGGCCTTATCCCAAAGCCGTGCATTCAAAATGGCTTAAAAAGCTATCCATTGCTTTATTTATATGACCAGTTAAAGCATACGAAATGATTTACTATGTGAGTGTATCCACATTAGACTATAAACTACAAGGAAACAGGGATAGACAGGCAGTCTTGCGTCTGTTTTTTTTTTTTTTTTTCATGATTGAATATAGTTCTGATCAATCATTTTAGTGGGGTTTTTCTTTTGTTATTTCTCCATTTTTAGATACAAACTAAGGGACCAAAATATCACTTATGAGAAATTAACAGTTTACTTCTGCAATGTATTAAGCAGAGAGCTGGAACATGTCCTATGCAGGCTGTGCCCATCATTGAGGATGCTTAACCTAACTGTTCAGAAGTGGCTTTGAAAAGGATGAGATAAGCAACAATGAATGGGTAGCAGTATCCTTCATCCTCAGGAATGTGGCTTCCTTTGGCCTCAGGCAATGCTGTCATAGGATCACAGGCTGCTCACCTCTTCTGTGTAACAGGTGCAGCTCTGGCTGAGATGAGAACAAGATATACTGAGTGCCTGCAGTCATCTAGGGATGATGTGGGTCTCCAACTAATAGGAACAAATATTTTCTAGTGCTAGTTTGAAATTGCAAGGAGAGTTCAGACTAAAGGAGCCCACATATATTAAATGACAGTCTTCCAATCTGGCTGCATTGGATGGTTTTTAAACGCATGTTCTTAGACAGGTTAATTTTGTTTTTGATAGTTGGCTAACAGGCTGGCAGTTTGAACTGGCTTTCTTATGCCCCTCTTTTGATAAGTTATACTTATCCATGTTTCTTGCTGACAATAGCCATTATTAGACTGGGGTAGGCTGGCAAGTTGAACTGGATAGTCCTATTTTTTACTTTGTGACGCCTTCCATGTTCACTGTTTAAAAAGCCAGTTATAGACCTGGGTAGGTGACCAGCTTTTTCTTTGTATATTAATTTTGGAGGTTCAGTGGGTGCATTGGACACCCTGGCTGCCGTTGTGCTACATGCTGGGTGTCAGGTGCGCTCCCATGACCTTAATGAGGGGTGGGCTCCCTCAGGTTCACCTGCCCTTGTTTTTATCCATTTAAATGCATGTGCTTCCATTGTGAGGACTCTCAAGATTTATAGAGTTAGGACCACAGATACTCAGGGTGCCATGATGTGGCTCTGTGGCTTACGTATGTATTTGCAAATGTGTGCTAACTAAACCCCTGTTTTTAAACGCATGTTCTTAGACAGGTTAATTTGGTTTTTGATAGTTGGCTAACTGCTGGCAGTTTGAACTGGCTTTCTTATCCCCCTCTTTTGATAAGTTATACTTATCCATGTTCCTTGCTGACAATAGCCATTATTAGACTGGGGTAGGCTGGCAAGTTGAACTGGATAGTCCTATTTTTTTACTTTTTTCACTGTTTAAAAAGCCAGTTATAGACCTGGGTAGGTGACCAGTTTTTTCTTTGTGGTTATCCAATGTCTAGGATAGGGTTGCCACCCAGGGGCGAACTGCCCATTTAGAAACTCCGGCAGTGCCCGAGGCCCGGGGTCAGTAGGGGGCCCCTGAGATGCCCCTGGTACCTTTTTCATAGGCTTTTTTGAGTTTGGGCAAGGACACAGGGGCCCCATGATCCCCTATTGCCCGGGGGCCCCATGAGTTGTCAGTCCGCCCCTGTTGCCACCTCATCCATTTAAACCTGAACACATTTGAATTACACAGATTCTGAGGCTAATTTAATGCAGATAAGGCATCAAGTGAGTTTAATTACCAACTTAATCAGCTACAGAACCTGTGTAATTAATATGTGTTCGGTTTAAAAGGGATGAGGTGGCAACCCTAATCTAGGAGCTCTATGAGAGTCTTGGGCAAGCACTGGCTGATAGCTATTAGGGTTGATTTACTAAAAATGGAATATATATAGTTTTACACAATTTCATTGTATACACAGTTTCATAGTATTGTATATGTATATTAGCACTATTGTGGTTTAAGCACCTTATTGGTTTATTTGGGATTTAGTCACGGGGAGGATGTATATAATTGCCAGCCCACGGGGGCATTACAGCACATGCACATTTGTGGGGACTCTTTGTGTAGTAGGGAGTGCATTCATTTGTTTAATTAATTATTTAAAGTAGTTTTTGGGAAAGGCAGCAATTTTCATGTTTGCACTCACACATTTGTTCACTGGTACACAATTGTGATTTTGCTAGCAGCAGCCAGTCTAATAGATCAGTCCTCTGTGCAGGTTATACTCACACACAAGGCATCAAGTGAGTTTAATTACCAGCTTAATCAGCCACAGAACTTGTGCAATTAATATGTGTTCGGTTTAAAAGGGATGAGGTGGCAACCCTAATCTAGGAGCTCTATGACAGTCTTGGACAAGCACTGGCTGATAGCTATTAGGCTACGTTCACACTAGCTTTGTCAGCAGGTGTCAGACAAGCGTTTGGGAAGCGTTTTTAATGCTTCTCAAATGCCTATGAAAATTCTGCACATGGCAGCACACAGTGCTGTTCACACTGAAGCGATAGCATCGCGTCGCGGAAAAAACTGACACCCCATGTCAAGTCAGGAGGAGTTGAAGCCTCCCATTCAAGTCTATGGTGCCGCTCCTGGCAGGCGTTTGCGAGGTGTTTGTGCCGCTCCTGGCAGGCGTTTGCGAGGTGTTTGTGCCGCTCCTGGCAGGCGTTTGCGAGGTGTTTGTGGTGCATTAATGCTATTTAATTTCATTATAGGCGTTTGTGGTGCAGTTTTAACGCTTGAAAAACGCCTATCAAATGCCTCAAAATCAGGCATATGGCTGTCTATCGCCTGTCAAACGCTATAGGGGCATTTGGCAAGAGTTAAAAATAAGTCAAGTGTGAATGAGCCCTTAGGGTTGATTTACTAAAACTGGAGGGTGCACAATCTGGTGCAGCTGTGCATAGAAACCAATCAGCTTCTTAGATTGTAAGCTCTTATGAACAGGGCCCTCTTAAATAATAAAAAAAAGCTTCTAGGTTTTATTGCTAAAGTGTAATTGAACAAGCTTGAGTTTAGAAGCCGATTGGCTACCATGCACAAGTGCACCGTTATCTCTGGCATTGTCTATGTATGTGGGGTCCCCTCTCCCTCATTCCTTGCTCCAAAACAGGAGCACTCCTGTGACCAGGGCATTCCTGGCTCAGCAGGAGATATTGTGAGTTGCTTAGATTTTGGATTGTGAATGCATCTCAGATGCTGGCCAGTTAAAGGCTTACTCTGCCTAACATTGCTTTATTTTAGGTTGTCACATGAAACGTGGTGGCATTCCACAGCCCCCATCCTCAAACCATCCTGCCTCCTACTTGAACCAAGGGTTGATGCTTCCCTCAGCAGCCTTTATTGATTTTTTCTTTTTGCACTGCTGCGGTTGGCTTCTCCAGCACTGCCTTGTCATCCATTCACACATCTATTCATGCAGATCTGTGAATGGAAGACTAGAAGTCTCATGTGCCACCACAGCAAAGGGACTCAATTCTATAATTAGGCACAAGCACAGGGATGTCACTGCACTTGTAGACCAAAGTTTACTTCCTCCAACTCCTTAAAGTGACTCTAAAGCACGGGTGTCAAACCGGCAGCCCTCCAGCTGTTGCCAAACTACAAGTCCCAAGAGGCATTGCAAGATTGACAGTTACAAGCAGGGGTGGACTGACAACTCATGGGGCCTCCCGGGAAATAGGGGATCATGGGGCCCCTGTGTCCTTGCCCAAACTCAAAAAAGCCTATGAAAAAGGTAGCAGGGGAATCTCATGGGGCCCCCTACTGACCCCGGGCCCTCGGGCAGTGCCTGAGTTTCCAAATGGTCAGTCCGCCCCTGGTTACAAGCATGACTCACAAAGGCAAACTCATGATGGGACTTGTAGTTTCGCAACAGCTGGAGGGCAACCAGTTTGACACCCCTGCTCTAAAGGAACATTTTTTTAAAATAACAAGCATGTCATATTTACCTGCTCCATGCAATGATTTTGCACAGAGCAGCCCCAATCCTCCTTTTCTTGGGACCCCCACTAGTGCTTATGGCATCTTCCCCTGTTAATTGCCCATTATAGCAAATCACTTGTTATTGGGGCACTCGTGTGAGCTTGGTCCAGGGTCTGCTCCAGGCTCATCCACACCCCCATGCTCTCCTCACTGGCTGTGATTGACGGCAGCAGGAGCCAGACCAATGAGAAGAGAGAGAGATCCAAGAGAGGTGCTGCTCTCATGTACAACGCTGGATCAAAATCGGGCTCAGGTAAGTAGTTAGGGGGAGCTCCTTACAGAATGTTTCTTTTTACCTAAGACTAGGTTCACATCTATGCAGTTTGCATTCTATCCATTTCTGCAGTGCTTTTTGCGGTACGTTTTGCATTTTTGCACATGTTTTTGATGCTTTTTTTTTTTTGGCCAACCTGTTGCTGGGCAGGTTAAAAAAATCAAAAATGCATTATAAATGCAACACAACATGCATCCAAAATACAGTACTTGCTTTTTATATACGGTTCCATTGAATCGGTTCGCATGTGTGAAGTATGAATGCCTATCAGATCCGATTCTAGTGCGGACCCAAAAAAGGGTCCTGCACCTTTTTGGTGCGGGTGCAGTGTGATTTGAGCCATACAGAATGTATGGCTCCAATCGCACTGCACAAAAAACGCATGTGACTTGCACAGGAATGCAGTGTACCACAACGCATTAGTGTGAACCTAGCCTGATACTATTACTTTTTATACCAAAGGTGGAATATGCCTTTAAACAGCTGGCATTTTTTTTGCCTCACTTATTGGTGAGACCTCTGCATATCGGGTCCTGGGGGGTGTTATTCCTGTTGTGGCCATTATGAGGGGTTTCCCAATCATCCTATTGTATTTTTATTTCTTTTATATTATTGGAAATGCAGCAAGATGAACTGGGACACACACAGGTGGACAGATGCACTCAATGCTCCAAGATGTACACTGCACAGACATCCATCCCACTTAGCATACCTTATACTAAACCTCCCTCAACACTTTCCTCTTTTGACCTTGCTACTACTGAAGAGCTCACTAAGGTTTTCTCAGAAGCCCGTCTCACTACCTGCCCCCTGGATCCTGTCCCCTCACAACTACTACAGTCGCCCTCTTCTTCCATCCTATGCTCCCTTCACTCACATCTTCAATCTTTCCCTCTCTACTGGTGCCTCCCCCTCCCCTCTAAAGCATGCACAGATCACTCCCATACTAAAAAAGCCCTCCCTAGACCCCACCAACCTGAACAACTTAAGACCCATCTCCTTGCTGCCATTTACCTCTAAACTCCTAGAACGCTTAGTCTACAATCACCTGCGCTCCCACCTCACCGACAACAACTTTCTTGACCCTTTACAGTCTGGCTTTTGCTCACTACACTCCACTGAAACTGCCCTACTAAAACTCAGCAATGATCTACTAACTGCTAAACCCAATGGCCACTACTCTGTACTCTTACTACTTGACCTCTCTTCGGCTTTTGATACGGTTGACCATCCCCTCCTTCTCAAAAAACTCCACTCTCTAGGACTCAGAGACTCTGCTCCCTCCTGGTTCTCCTCCTACCTATTGCAGCGCTCCTTCAGCGTTACCTATAATGCTGCCTCCTCCTTTTCACTCTCTCTTTCTCTAGGGGTCCCTCAAGGTTCTGTCCTTGGACCACTTCTCTTCTCCATCTACACCTCCTCCCTTGGTCACTTGATCAACTCCCATGGCTTTAAGTACCATCTCTATGCTGATGACACACAAATCTATCTCTCTACCCCTCACCTTACCCCTTCAGTCTCCTATCGCATTACTAACCTACTAAGTGACATATCGGCATGGATGTCACTTCACTTCCTCAAACTCAATCTTTCCAAAACTGAGCTCTTAGTATTCCCCCCATCCCGTGCCCCCTCCCCTGACTACTCCATCAAGATCAATAACACAATCATCAGTCCCTCTCCTTATGCGAGGGTACTAGGTGTAATCCTAGACTCCCATCTGTCCTTTCAGCCCCAAATCCAATAGCTGTCCAAATCTTGTAGACTTCACCTCCGGAACATCTCCAAGATACGCCCGTTCCTAACCACGGAAACTACTAAGCAACTTATTCACTCCCTTGTTATATCTCGCCTTGACTATTGCAACTCCCTACTCATTGGCCTACCAAATCGCAGGCTATCCCCTCTTCAGTCTATCATGAACGCTGCTGCCAGAATCATCCACCTTACTAACCTTTCTGTATATGCCACCCCTCTCTGCCAATCCCTCCACTGGCTTCCCATTGCCCAACGGATAAAATTCAAAACATTAACAATAATGTATAAAGCCATTTATAACTCTGCCCCAAATTACATCAGCAATCTTGTCTCTAAATATCGCCCAAACCGTCCTCTCCACTCCTTGCAAGACCTCCTGCTCTCTAGCCTGCATCCTATAATTAAGTGCATAGCATGAAACGTGTCAGAGGGGCTACAGCATCTAGACATCACGCCACCGCTGGTGGCCATCCTGAAATACTTATGGTCAGTGTTTTTTACTATTTTATTTACACCTGTT